CCGGCCAGGCCTGCGGGGGCGGCCTGTCGCCGTGACCCTTCTACCTCCCGCCACCCTCCCCGTCGTTGCTGGGGTTCTTCGGGGTGCTGGGGCGGCTTTTCGGAGCCCTTCATCCTTTACCCTCCCGGCGAGTCGCCTCCGGTGCCCGCAGCGTGGCAGGGCGAGGGCGGGCAGGCAGATGCTTGTGGTGGGGATGGGGTTTCTCTCCTTCCCCATCACTTCTCGTGGCTCACGAATGCAGTTAGCCAGGGAACTCACGTCGCGATGAGTTAGTCGAGCGCACCTTCTGTTGGTAAGGGCTTTCTGGCACGGAGCTGGGTGGTCACTTGCGGTTTCACCTTTAAAAAAAATAATTAAATAGGACCTTGTGATGCTGAAGTCTTTGACGGTGGGTTTGCGTGCCCATCAAAATCCACGTTTTTCTCGGCCTGGGGAGGTGACCTACTTTCTGAACAGGGAACGTGTATAGTTGTCACACTGCAATACACACTGTAAATTGAACTGTGCCAAGTCAATTACACCAGGTGTTGCTGTGAAAATATATCACTCATGGACCAACTGTTTCACATGTAATGTTATCCCAAGGGATGATGCTGTTTATGCCATATGCATTTAGTCTGGATTTCAGGGGAAACAGAAGCTGCCCTGAGCTGAGATTTTTACCAGTTCTCTAGCTGTGGAATGGAAAATACAGCTTTTACTCAAAATGCCAGATCTCCACTAGTTTGACCATGATGTTAAGCGCGGCTATGAGAACTTTACATGACATAATATGCTCCATCACCACCATCTTGACAGCGAACAAACAGCCATGAGATTCTTCCATTGAGAACAGCACGCGAGGTTCTCCGAGAGAAAAAACCAAAAATCCTGTGACTTGAAAAACATTTGTTGCCATTGTCTATTTTCACTTTACACCTATCTCACTCACATTTAGCAATTACAATGAGCTCAACTGAGGACACGAGCTACTGAGTCTGCTTTGTTGCATCTCTGCCCTAGATGTGTACGGGCTTAGTACTTGTGAATCCCGCTGTGGCAATAAGTCTGAATATTGCTGATTTCATGGAAGAAGATAAGTTGAAGTTGGGGGGGATCTGTACTGCTGAGTAGATCTCTCGCACTGTTCTAATTGTAATGCTTTCATTTTATCACTTGGGGAGAAACTAGATCAGGCTTGATAGTAAACAGATTATACCTTATGAAGTATGTCTGCTGCTCTGAAAGAAAAGGAAGTGTCTGCTTTCTGTAGCTTTTTTTTTCTTTCATTTTCCATGTAAACCATTTTATTTAAGAAATGTTTTCTGCATCTTAAAAAGCTTCTTCCATCTCCTAGTTGGTTTTTTTATCAGTTCAACCCTGCTTATCCCTGGGTAGCTAATAGCTTTCATTCTCTTGTCTATCTAAAATAGTGAGAAATTATTCACGCCTGTCTCTTGTTCTATATATGATCAGTACAAGGCTATCAATAGTTAAGTCTTTGGAAATATTTAATGTCCATTTTGTTGAGCTACAGCACTGTTCAAATCTATCATTTGGCTGCTGGAAAGGTGACAGTTTGTGGGTCTCTGGCAGAGCGCTGGTGCGGGATTTGGTATGAGAAGTGCTGTCTATTTTGCGGGGAATTGATTTGGACAGCAGTGCCAACTTCCTACTCTTCTATGATTTGGAAGCTTTTTCTGTTCTTCCTATAATGCCCTAATATCTCTGTCAGTTTTTCTGCAATTTGTCTTTTGGGCACAGGGAGGAGATGGGACTGGGGGAATAGTGCAGCGTGCCTCTGTAATAGTTAGTACTGCAAATTTTCTAGCAGTTATGTACTGAAGCTGACATGGTGGCTCCGCAGTCATCAGTGTTTTACTGGTTTTCTGCAGCAGAGCTTCCAGAAGATGCTCTGGAAGGAACCTGAACGATGAGATGAATTTGATGGAATAGAACAATCCGATGATACAACTCAAGGGCTGCACATCGGTGCCTGGGGCGCATGCTGATGGAGAGTTTTTTGTTCACTTGCTTCAAATCCGTTTATATGAAATTCAGTCTCCTTATTTTGGCAGTGCCTGTGCACTGTTTAGGCTGCAGGTGTAGATGGAACCCAGTGGCACTAATGTAGAGCTTGGTGTGGGAGAGTTTACTGTGATTCTTGGGCAGGTTTTGCAGTCCGTGTGCCCTTGTGGTTGGCATTGCTGCTGGCTTCAAAGTAGTAGCTTAGAATTAGTTCAGGACTTCACTGCAGTAATTTCTCCATTATGTCAACCTTCCTGTGCATAGTCCTTCTTATATTTTCCTCATTAATTTCCCTTATTCATTCCTTCCCTTATGCCTGATGTAGTGTCTCAGTCAAATATTTTCTTTCTCCAAAAAATACGTGACAATTGATTCAGGAGTGCTCTCCTACTGAAGTAGCCATTAACATCATCTTAATGTGGGAAGATAAAAGATCAGGGCAGAGTGAATGAAACCTTTTTTGGACAATTTGTCTTTAGACTTACTTTGCTAGTCAGTACGACTGTTCTTCATATTGGAAGAGCTGAATGTTACCTCCTGAACTTACTTGCCCCTAACAGTAACAAGACGGCTGTGCATTCCGTGTCCAGGTGCTAAGCAGATGAAACCTTCTGCTTGAAGGTGGAGAAGTTGCAAGTGGGAGGAATGATTAAAAGCCATAAACGTCCCATGTAATGCCTGAATAACTTACTGAGAGGTAGCAGGGAGAGGGTAGAAAGAAGGTTGCTACTAATACAACTGCTGCTTGGGCCAAAATGATTTTTGGCCACTATTGCCTCACAGTTCTAATATAATTACATGTGTAATTATATTACACAGATATTGCACATATATTCAGCCGATGGGTAGGATTGCCTGCTGTGTTACAATTTCTACAGTCATTTTTTTGCTCAACATCTTGATGTGATTGTTAGGTTTGTTAAGATCTTAGTTTAAAATATATGTAAATTTAAAAAATAACTTTCTGCAAACCGCTTAGGTGTTTGATATCTTTAAGTAGTATTTTGATTTCTTTTAAACTGATACTGAATTGTAGGATTGTTTTTACACAAATAGGAACTTTGTGTTAAAGACGTGGTTGTATTAAGGGAAAATGCTGCAGCAAAATGAGGAATATGGTGCTAAAGCTAAATAGCAACAGACTAAATATTTTTTTAATAAAATTTTTGATATTGCAGTTTAAACAGTCTAAAACTGTACAAATATTATCAATTCTCAGAAATTCATGCTGAAGTGCAGTTGAAGAATTACGGAAAATTTCTTGAGGAATACACATCTCAGCTGAAGAGAATTGAAGATGCTTTGGATGACTCCGTTGGAGATGTTTGGGACTTCAGTCTTGATCCTATTGCTTTAAAGGTCTTCATATATTTAATGTGCATTACAACTGTTACTTTCCTAGTTCCTCCTTCCCTTCAAAACCTGAGAAGTAAAAACTTGATGCATTTGTGCTCTTAAAATTTTGGCTTTTTTGTTTGAGAAACCTATCCAATACTATTTTAATTACCAAGTAACTGATAAATTGGTGCAGATCAGCAGAGAAGATATTTTCATATTATTTTTTTGGATACTAGTGGAAGTTAACTTACAGCTCTTCATGTTTTGAGAAGGCTAATTCCAGCAAACTTCTTCCCTGTGGGTGTTGGTGTTTTTATCTGGGGGTTGGGATTCCAGAAGAGCTCACCGATAGTTGTATAACTGCAGTGAACTGTGTGTGTGTATTTATAGTTGTGTTTTGACTTAATGGCCTGCAGTGAACTGTGTGTGTGTATTTATAGTTGTGTTTTGACTTAATGGCCTGGGTACCGTATTTTCTGTCCTCCAGAGATGGCTGTTTCCTTGGTTCATAAGTTCTCTGTCCTCTGTGGAGCAGTGTTTTTTCTCTTCACTGAATGTGCAGACATCATTTAAAAGTGCTTTTGCTGCTATATGGAACTTGTTTGTGCTGAAGATGCACTCTCAAGCTATCATCTGAATAATTTGAATAAATCATGTGTAGGGCCACCACAGTGCCAGGTGCATGTCAGTGTCATGGCTGACTCCAGTACAGAATGTCAAGTGCCTGCGTACACTCGGCGTACACTCTGTCCTGTGTTTGGGATTTAATTAATGTTTTAGGTTTCCTGAGCTGTTTTTTTCTACATAGTCCATAATGACTATGCTTTTTTTTTCCAAGTTTTTTAAGTAAATTGTTGTAAATACTATGCAGTATACCTAGTTATTTGCCTTTCTGCCTAGAGTGAAAGGAAAGGTATTTCCATGTAAATGTGAAGAGCGAACGTTTCCTGCAGCATAGGTTCTCAGTAATGTGCAATTATTGCTCTCTTTTTGCTACCCTACCTGAGATTAAACTCTAGGGAAAAAAATACTTACCTAGTTGGATAAATGTATTTCTGACCAATATTTTCTAAAGTTAATAATTTCTGGATTATTTATGTTTACTTTTTATTTTAGCTTTTGCCATATGAACAGTCGTCCCTACTAGAGCTCATAAAGACAGAAAACAAGGTAAGCATTTTATGCTTAAAAGAGAAAAATACTACTGCTACCAAAATAAAATAAAATTTACAAATAGTTATTCTAGCAAAACCCAAGCCCTCTAAATATGAATCTCTTTATAACCTGTGTGGTTTTATCCCCTTTGGGTCTAGGTTCTAAACAAAGTAATAACTGTGTATGCTGCTCTTTGCTGTGAAATCAAGAAGTTAAAATATGAGGTAAATCCATCTGTCTCTTATTGCTGTGTATGAAAATGTTTTCAGATCGGCAAGCTGATATATTGACTTATTCTTTAGCAGTAAAGAAACAAGATACGATGTCTTAATAATAATTTTTGTAGCATGATTACGTATATCCTATTTATTAAAAAAAAATTTCTGCTTTTGTTGTTAGGCAGAAACTAAATTTTATAATGGCCTCTTGTTTTATGGAGAAGGAGGTAAGTAGCTCCCTTTATGGTAAAAGTTTGTAGTTTTCTGTTATTGTTTCAGGTTATATTAATTGCTACAATAAATGTAATTTTATAACACTGGTACATGCTATCTCTGTATCTTTGACTGATGAACACCAAATAACGGACTTTGAGGATATAGGGATCATAGAATCACAGAATGGTTTGGGTTGGAAGGGACCTTAAAGATCATCTAGTTCCAACCCCCCTGCCATGGGCAGGGACACCTTCCACTAGACCAGGTTGCTCAAAGCCTCATCCAGCCTGGCCTTGAGCACTTCCAGGGATGGGGCATCCACAGCTTCTCTGGGCAACCTGTGCCAGTGCCTCACCACCCTCTTCTGGAAGAACTTCCTCCTGATATCCAATGTAAATCTCTCCGCTTTCAATTTAAACCCATTACCCCTTGCCCTGTCTTAAACCCCTTTCCCCTGCCCCCTGTCACTACAGGCCCTTGTAAAAGTCGCCCCCATCTTCCTTGTAGGCCCCTCCAGGTACTGGAAGGTGCTGTAAGGTCTTCCCTGATCCTTCTCTTCTCCAGGCTGAAAACCCCCATTCTCTCAGCCTTATCTTGTAACTGTCCTGCGTTAGCTTAAGATAACAATAAGATTTATCTGTGAAGCCAGTTACCTGCAGTGAGTATTGTTACATTAACAGGAAGTTTTGTTGCAGCCTTATTTGCATGAGAAGTAGGGACTGTGGGCTGATGAGATTTTATTAAATGTGTAATATAAGGCTTTTATACTGTAGCAGCTGTTTTTCCAAGTATGGCATTGAAAACCTGTTTTTCATATGTAAACACACCCTAAACCAATTTATTTCCTATTGGGACTAAAGTTCACACTGATTGTAGTAAAACAACGAATGTGTAATTGGTTGTAATAACACAATGAAACCATTAATAAATAATTTGGACCAAGTCCAGCCCACTTACGCAGTCATAGTTGTTCCAAGAGAACTTGCAGTGTGTGATGTCACCTGCCCTGCAAGTACAGGTAACAGCAGTTGTGCTGCTGTTTAGACCATGACATAATACAGGGGCGTAAGTGATTGTAAGTCAGTTCAGTTGACAAATCATGAGACCCTGCTTTAGGTGAAAGTTGCTTTTTGTTTTGGAGTTAAACTAGTAACTCTTGCAAAGGATTGGTCTTAAGCTTCCACCTTGATGGATGCTAGTCTGGGAATCAGCACAGATCTTGGTCCTGAGATCTGAATATATTAATGAGTTGATTTAGAGACATATCACCTAACTTTTTCTCTTTCAGAAATTTGAGAGAAAGGGAAAGCCTTTCATAGGAGTCGTGAAAAAGGTCTTTTTTTAAGAGCCTTGACTGTGGCAGAAGTACTGGGGAATGGGAATTAATTGATCTTGGAGCTGTTTATCATTCTTTTAAGTGATATATAGGATGACTGTTACGATTCAGTTAAGAAACATGAAAAAGTGTAGGGTTTGGTGGTGGTGTTTTGGTGTTTTTTTTCTTAGCAGATTCTCAGTTCTTATCAGGCATGGTTTTAAATATCTTAAAAGAAAGTGATATGCTGCCAAAATGATAGTAGGGGATCCCTGGAAACTAATCCATCTCTGTAGCACGAAAAAAAGTCAGACTTGCAGATTACCATACTACAGCAGCAGTTTGTTCCTGATGGGTGTTCTGCAGGGAATGTTTGAGAATGGCAGGAACCAAGAGGTTCGCCTTCGTTGCGTTAGGTAGGGATAGTTCTCCATTCCTAAATTTCCTTCTTGTAGGATCTGTTTTGATAACAGCAAGCTTGCTTACGTAGAACAGGTGGCAAAGTTACTGGCTTAAAGGTGGCTGAAATTTAAACAAATATTGTGCTGGCCTTTTCCTTCTGGATAAAGAAACTTTTTTTCTTTTTTCCATCTTGTCCTTGGAGTGGCAAGGGCTGGCCACGGAACTTTAAATAGTTATTTGGAGAGGGTTTGGGTGTTGTGGTTGTGGGTTTTTTTTCTGACATACACTAATCAGAGGTTACATAGAATGTGTAAAGGGGAAGCATACAATATTTAGAATCTTGTCTCAGAGCTCTATCTTAGAGAAGTATGGAGTCTACTTCAATCTCTGGTGACTGGTCTAGAAAGAACATGTTTTATGAAGCAATAAGACCTGCATTTCTTAAAGAAGGTAAACTTGCAATTGTAAGCCGTATTTGTTCAGAGTGGCCCAGCAGAAAAGCCTGAGGTCTAGAGCATTAATCTGTCATCACATTAAAAAGACCGTGTTTTGTCAGGTGGTATGACAACTGTTACGTCTGACTGAAACAATTTGTCATCGGTGATGTAACAACTGTATTTCATAGTATCCTGTTAGTGTTGGTACTGTAACTATTGTATTTCCTACAATCCTGTTAGTGTACTTGTCATACAGGTAATGCTTTGAAGCTATGGTGATGAGCCAGTTCTTTTGTGCAGGAAGATATGTAGGAAAATCAATTTCTTGAGGAAATTGTATGCTACACAGCTTTTTCTTCTGATTAATGATGTAGTCTCTTTCAGTAAATAATTGCCAGTGGATGTTTCTTGCAATATAAATACGTAGTGTTTTCATACAAACTTTGTAAAATGGAAAATGTTATGACACTACATAATATCAGTGCCTTTTTAAAGAATTACATTTCCTGTTCTTTATTTTCTTTCAGTCAGTGGAGACTTTTTTTTCCCCTGCTTTGTGTTTAATTTATAAACAATGTCATTTTTAATGCGAAAAACTTCAAAAATAAGTCCAGTTTAGGAAAGCAAAATTATGAATTTTTTAAGGCTTCATCAGTGTGCTTATAATAGTGTGCTCCACTTGTATGACAAACAAATGGCTTGGAGGGCAAGCTTCAACGTTAATTTAACAGGCATAACACAGGCTCTTGAGAGCAGTGACAAATGTTTGTCTTTTAAGCCACAGATTCCAGCATGGTGGAGGGAGATTGTCAAATACAGATGGGAAGATTTGTTTCTTTCTTGCAGGTAGAGTATGTTTTCTTTTTTTTTTTTTTTACAGTAATTATAATCTCAATTTTACTTGCAAAGCGGATGTAACAGTTTGCAGTATCCTGCTGGCATCTTGCTGAAGGGCAGCGCAGTCATTACGGTTCTTATGTTTTGCCTGCAGACCTGTCACAACCAGCTGATGTATCTCACACACTTTTGGTTTTTTTTATACTTGTCTAAAACTCTGGAAGTCTTAGAAGAAATTGCAGTTTGTATAATCATTGTTCAAATAAGTTAGAATTTACTTAAGAAAATTTCAGTGAAAAGATAAAATGAGGTTGTTTCACTTCATGGTGAAGATACCCATTTTTATGGTTTTGATTAACACGTGTTAGTTTTCATTGTACACTGGAAATGGATTAATTATCTATACATCTTATTTTAGCTGGTAGAAGAAAGCAAAATCAAAACATGTACCTGGGGAAAAAAAATTGCGCTCTCAAACTTCAGGGAAGAGTGCCCATTTCTTATGGTTTGGTTGTTATCAAGATTCTTTGCATGAAAACAGGATCCGTGTTTCTTCACAGGATTTCCTGTGCTCTTGGGTTTCAGTCTACTGTGGAATTTTGTCTTCAGTATGGCTTGACTGTCCTGTTCCAAAAAAATGTTTCTGTTTTTATGCAGTATTGCTTGTAATGTAATACCTATGTTGAAGTAGAGAATATACAAGAAGCTTCCAGAATGTTTAAACAAATTCTAGTTTAATAAAGGTTAAAATTCTTGTTCTTGCTGTATATTAGCATGGCAGTAGTCATTTACTGAGTTGTAACAGATTGAATGCTATAGGAAGTTGTTTCTCAACCTCTTTTACCATGCCCAAGTTCAGTTAGTTGTTACAATATCTTGTTGGGTTTTTCCCCCCCATTTTTCAAGTTTTTTGTTCTATCAACTTTGTCAGTCTCTTCCCTCATCCTCTGTTTCTTTCTGAGCAGGTGTCTGGGAGACATTTTAGTGGTTCTGAAATGGGGCTGCCCTACACTTGTGTTTTTCCAGACCTTTCCCCTTCACACTGCCAGCGTGCTTTGTCCAGGTGGAGGTTGGGAGCAGGGTTGCTGGCTGTCTGGGGATTTATGCACGTTGCAAACCCAGTCTGTAGAACCAGTTTATGTTTATTTATGGAGTATATGCTGATGTGTATATTTATAGGGTAAACACTACACGAAAATATAGCAGTGTTGCTTGGGAGCCTACTGTGTATGTATGCTACCACGGGTTGCTGTTGTTGAGCAACTTGGGAACGAAGGGAGATGCAGGATGCTGCCCCAAAGAGGGAAGGTTACTGTGCTAGCAGGTGTATGGTGCTTTGGGTAAGGGTATGAGGAGAACTTTGTCGTTATTGAGCTTTTTTTTTTCCTCAACTGTTGTGTTCCCCTAAATCTACTTGGTACAGTCTATATCCATAGACTGGGAAATTCTGTTTTGGTCAGTGTTACAAGCATATCTTCAAGGGTGGTGTGAAAATATGGATGAAGATGACAAAAGAGGTGAAATGTTGCTTTCATAGGGCTAATGTCTACCAGTTGGTTTATTGGCTACTTCTGAGTTCAGAATTTCTTGATTAACTAGGTGTAACAGCCTCAAATTTGCTATGTCAAAACACTTCTTAAAAAAGTACGAACACAGTGCTATGAAACTCCCGTTAGTACTCTGGATCCTGCAGGAGATGGCGTATTTGGAGAACTCCGATAAGATGATAATCTTGTCTGTATTATATAGCTCCTAACATGCACATGCTCTTAACTTGGACTATTTCCTGGAAGCTTTAAAATGGTAACAAAATAGTGCCCCTTCTCCAGGAAACATGATCTCAGTTGTCTATTAATCCATTCCTCTGGAATCTGTTGGCTTGTTTCAGCTGCATTGGATAGAGCAATACAAGTATAAGAAGTAACGACACTGATGTTTTGTGTAAACTGGTGACTAATAGAAGGCAGAAGCCCAAATAAGATATATTTTTGATGGAGAGGAAGACGGAATCCGGCTGTTAGCCAGTCTTCTGGCAGGAATGGCAGGCTGGCTGCTTAGCCAGCGTGGGCTGTCTGCTACGCAGCCGTCTGTGTGCCGACTGCCTAGACTCATCACATGTGGACTTGTCTCTGATGGGATTAGAGGGTGCATTAATGTGCAAATATTACTGCAGTTAAGGGAAACTGAGGTTTGTTTATCCTATGGCTCAAGGAATGCCTTGTTAAAATCCATTATAGAAATTAACATAGACCTTTACGTGGTTAGAGTTGACCTGCTCTTACTCGTTTTGTAGTAAAGTTCTGCTTTAGTCAAACAAGGCATTGTCTTGTTTTTTTGAAAGCAGTATTCTGTGGCTGATCACCCTTTGAGTGGGTACAGGCTTCTGTGTTGATTGCTAATTTGAATTCAGCTATTGCCAGCTCCCAGAGCGTGACTTTTGAATCTGGTGAGAAAAGGCACAGCCTTTGCTCTCCAGGATATTCTCTCTAAAAGGGCTTTGGGCACTGTTGTCAAGTCATGTCTTGCTGTCTGTCATAAACTGAACCAACAGTGTGAACAGTCCAAGTTGTACTGGGAGCTGTTCGGTAGCTTCTTAGCTTAGACCCAGATCTCTTTTCTGAGCTGTTAGTTACTAGGATGATGTTTTCCATCCTGCTGTAGGTCTGTCCACTGACTTGGATTAGGAATGTAGTTGGAGCTTGGGCTTCAGGTTCAGTGGTTGATGTTGAGTGTTTCGGGTGTAATGACAACTATGTTCGAGAAGGGTCTGTACATACATACGTATGTATTTTATTTTCTTGTATTTCTTTATTTTATGCATTTTATTTTCTTGTATTTCAGGAGCTGTCTTGCTTTGTTACCCGGTGTTATGAAGTGGTGGTGAATGTAGTGCATCAGCTGGCTGTTCTCTATACCAGCAACAAGTAATTATTCCCTAAAATGCTGTATTGTTTTTATGTAGTTAAACAAATTTATAAAATATGAATATTCTGCCTAAAGCACGGTCATTTCTGGAATATTGTTGTCTAGGGATATGGAGAGTGCTTTGCTGTGCAAGTTTGGGCTTCATGTACCATTACGAAAGTGGATTTGTTCTATTTTCACAAAAGGCAGTGCTTTTATATAATTAGATGCAGGATTTTTTTTTTTTGGCCATTCTTGGATATAGTTGATGCTTCAGAGGCACTTAATCCCTGTGATTAAGAGGTTGTTTTATTACTCTTTCATCCTTGTGCTGGGTAAGAGAGAGATTCCTTCTGTTGACTGATACAGTGGATGCCAGTAGCTCTAGAAGCTTAAAAATGAGATCACTTCCACAGTCGTGTCGTACATATTTAAATCTTGATATATATTCCTCACAGAATAACCATGATTTTAACAACTGAAATTGAGCTTAGTAAGGGCTGTTGGGTTTAGCCCCTCTGAAGACTGAGTGTAGTTTAGCTCTGAATAGAATTCTTTGGTTTAGCTCTGAATATAACTGCATGGCTCGTGATCGCCACACGCCACACTGGCCCACAGCCCATTAGGACAGCATTGTTCTTCTTGGTTCTATTTGTTGTGTTCATTTTCATCTTATATTATAGCCCAGGGTAGACTTTCTGTGGGGTGCTGAATGAAGCAGGCTGGATGTGTACCTTGGACGTGGCTTAATTAAATATTTGAAGTGATTTTTGTACTTTGAGGCCACAAGGCTGTATGTATCAAGGCTACTTGCTGTTAGCATAACTGCATCGGGAAGTGCCGATGTGCATGCACTGAATGAAATCAGTGGTTTGAACCGTGCTGTGCATTCAGAAATGCAATATTAAATCTGATCATAGCACTCAGGTATAAACAGTATATACTTGTAATCAGTTTTTGAGCTGCTTTTGTTTTCTGAAGTTACTGTGTTAATAAGAAAGATACACCCCAAGAGAAAAAGAACACACTGTGATATAGAATTCATAAATATCTTTTGTTCTAAGGATTAAAAAGGCATTAAAATATTTATTTTATTTACAGGAATGCACCTAAAATTATAGAGACATCTGGAGTTCATTTTCAGGTGGGAATGACTTGGACCCCTTTTGCTTATGTTAATATATTATGTCTTTATCATTAACCCCAAGAAAAGCAGCAAGAAAGTGAGTTTCAAGTGCAACTTTCAATATGGAATCTCCTTTAAAAGTTTTATTTTGTTAATAATTTTTTTCTGGCCTTTATGTGGAAAGGCATCTCCATGTCTGTCATATTCTAGAGTTCTCAGCTAGAAGGCATTTGCACACTCCTTTATTGTGTGCAATATGTGCTTCTGCATGTAGACAGTTTTAAAAATCCCACCTTCAGTGTCAGTGCTTGCAGGCAAACTAGCGTTCGTTGCGGCACTAAAAGAAATACTAAATCTGTAAGCTACCAGCCCAAGAAATCTCAGATTTAACTCTCTAGCCGATGTCTTGTTGGCTGATAATATATTGAAAGGAACTGCAATTTTATATGCAATGCATAACCACAATAAATGTTTCAATAACGACAGTCCTTATTTATTTATTTAAAAACCAGGCAATGTACGAGCATCTGGGAGAGTTGCTCACAGTCTTAATCACTCTGGATGAAATAATTGACAATCATGTCACTCTGAAAGATCACTGGACCATGTATAAGAGGTGTGTCTCTGAAGGTGTGAAACATACTCCCACAACGTAACAGATAAAAGCATTTGCATGTGTCTTTGTTCCAAGAAAGTCATTGTGGGAACATGGATTTTCGTATCCCCAAGGGTTTTCCAGAAATCATAATGAGAAGCAGGGCTAAGCTCCCACTGTGTCCTTCTCACAGCACCAGTAAGTTTTTGAAGTGCTGAATGTTACATTTACAATACAGGGTAAGCATCTTGACAAACAGAGTAATGGTTGGTGGGGTTTAAAATACATTTGGTATGAATCTAATCTTATACAGAACTGATCAAAGGCTGTCCCTGTCCATACTGATCACAGGGATGGGCATACAGGTTTAAGTAAGAATGCTATCTTCAGTAAAAGCTGAAGAATCAATAATTATAAAGGCAGTTAAATTAGTGGAATAATAACTCCGTTTCATTGAAAACCTAAGTAAGTGGGAGTAATTCAAATGCATTTGGCTTACAAGCATCTAGTAGGGGTGTGTGTATGTTGGCTGGGTTTTTTTTAATTTTAGAGTTGCTGCTTGGCACAGATGTGAGCAATTAAAACCTGTTCTCAAAATAGTACAGGATATGATGAAACTGAGCATGTTATAACTGTGCATGTATGTTTGTGTTCAATGCCTGCTCCTTACAGACTGTTAAAATCTGTCCATCACAACCCTTCGAAATTCGGGATTCAGGAAGACAAACTGAAACCATTTGAAAAGCTGCTGTTAAAACTGGAATGCCAGTTACTTGATGGAATGATATTTCAGGTAATGAAATTAATGTTCCTCAGTGTGATAGGGGAAACTGTTATATTAAAGCAAGACTCTTCAGAATGTGTTGTTTGTTTTTATTTTGTTTTGTTCTGGATACAGTGATGTGTGAATTTGGCGCTCTCATCTGTGCGTGGGGAAAAAAGGGTCTATTGTACGATCCTTCCTTGCTCTTATGTGCTAGAACTGTGCCAGGCTTTGAGTGGTAGCAGTTAATGCTTGCTGTTTTGCAGAAGTAAAGAAGCATGGGCAGCTTGGCATTAAGACTGTGTATTATCAGGGAGTATGCTTTTCACCAGAAATTTTAATTGCAGTCAGGCTTATGTAGCATAGGTCACTTTATTATAGCTGCAAGTTAAAATCTCCTCAGTAATCTTGACAATATGTTAAGCGTGAGCTCTTGTTCTGTATTTTGCCTCATTCCTAGCACATGAGACAGGAGTCAGGAGGTACCGCTTCAGTAGTATATTCACCTGTATACTTGCATATTTCAGGAATACGAGAAGGATTATTACTTTTTCAATACAGTTAATTTGAATGTGTTCATACAAGAAGCCCTCTTTTTTTAGGGAAGTGTGTATTTAAGACTGAAACCAGATGTGGTGGCACAGTGGACAGAGGATAACATTGCTGACTCTGGTCAGAGCAGAGTCAGTTGAACAGGATTGTTGCTCAGTTCTTACTGTTAGATCTTAAATAGCATAGGGAAGACAGTTTTCTTCTGTAAAACCCTCCAAAAAAAGAAATTTAGGGATAAATAATTAAACACAGTTTGGCTTATTCTGTTGAAGGACACTGCTACCAGCTATCCATTTTTCATCTTCTGTTTCTCTAAATGTTGCATTAGTACAAAGGCTTCATTATATCTTTGACACATCAGCAGGGTTTGTCTGGTACTTGTTCAGAACATTTCCCCTCCTGTCCTGTCAGTGCCCCTTCTTAACAAAAATACATGAAAAATACTCTTAAATTCAACTCCATTAAAGACTTTTCTAATATCTTTAGAAAATCTGAAGTGTCTCTTTTTAAAAATTTTATTTATTTTTTTACTACTGTGTGGTTTTTGGATATGTTTGTTTTAAGCAACCACCAGTGGTTTAGAGGTTTTATGCTGCAAGTTGGTGAACCACATCCTACAAGTGACTTGCATGATAATTTTGTTTAGTTAATGAGCAGGAACTTACTGTAATGGAATAATGTAAAAACACATCTAGTTGCTTATCACTAGGGCATCATGTGGTTTGTTTAAAAATACCCCTTAACAAAACCATTCAGTAAATGTGTGGGTTTGAGTGTTAGGTGTAAGAGAGGTTTTTAATGTTTTATACGAAGTCATTTAAGTATACTCAGAAAAATCTGCCTGTTGTCAAATCAGGCTAACTTCAGCTTAGTGCTATACAACAGAAATCACTGTGCTCTTGCAGTATTCTTCTCTTGCAAAATCAGTATTCTTTTAAGGTTCAAAATTCATGGTCCTCTTATACTTTTTTTTTTTCCCCCCTTTTTGCTCAGGCCTGTATAGAGCAACAGTTTGATTCTGTAAACGGCGGAGTGTCAGTGTCGAAGAACAGCACGTTTGCTGAAGAATTTGCTCATACTCTTCGCGCAGCTTTTGCAAACGTTGAAGCCAAACTTGGTAATGCAAGCTCGTGCTTCTCTCGCCAGCTTCGCTGTTGCTAAAATGGTTTGTGGTGTTTGTCTGGGAGTGAACTTCAAAAAGTGATTTTTTGGGGTGTTTGTTTCTGCAGGTGAACCTTCAGAAATTGACCAGAGAGATAAATATGTGGGCATCTGTGGTCTCTTTGTGCTGCATTTCCAGATATTTCGGACTGTAGACAAGAAATTTTACAAGTCGTTGTTGGATGTCTGTAAAAAGGTGAATGTTTTTTTTCTTTCATCAATGAGAGGGGGGGAAAATCTTGAGTAATAAAGTAAATAATTTTCTTAGTTGTATAGCATAGCAAAGGCTTGGGAAAAGAAACCAGGCCATGTACCTAAACAAGTCAGAAAGCAGAATTAAGATTTTTCTACTTTTTATAGTTTCCTCCCTCGCTGCTATTTCCTTTTAAGGATGCTCTAAAACCTGTCTGCTCACGTAACAGCAAAGTAAAGTAACTTGAAATTGCCATTAAATGTTTCTTGAGATTAATGTGTCATGGAGGACAAAAATTCTTTAAGAGGGACTGAATAACTGCTTTGGATTTTGAGCTTGGCTGTAAAAATCTCGGAAGACCTCTAAGTCTGAAGGTGACTGGGTTTTTTTCATAGCAGGTGGTATGAAGAAATTTATTATTAATTTCTTTAATGCTGTGTAGAATCACTGAGCATGGTAATAACCTTGCTTGTGGTGTCCTCTAAGGACTTCTAGGGAAGAAACCTTTTTTTAATGTGAATGTAATATTTATTTCTTCATAGCTAGTTTCTACAAACTGAATTGTGTGTTGTGATTCAAAAGAGGCATAAGAAACATGCGTGGTGGCATGGTATTTGTTGTAGTTACTTTGTTTCTCGCTACTTGTAGTATTTCCCCCTCCCTTATGTTTTTGGGTTTTTTTTCTTCCCTCCCAGGTTCCAGCCATCACATTAACTGCTAACATTATCTGGTTTCCTGACAACTTTCTGATTCAGAAGATACCAGCTGCTGCCAAACTTCTGGACAAGAAAAGTATTCATACAGTTAAAATGCAAAGGGAGAACTTTCTACAGCAGAAGGCACAGACACTTGCCAAGTATGCTTCCTAAATACTGCCTCGTGGTGGTGTTTGGCAAACAGTTCATAGATATGTGGGTTGCATCACTCGGTGTACCAGCGTCTTGTGTAGTGTCACGCAGGGCTGTTAAACAACTTTTCCATTTCACTGCAGCAACACGTGTGTCTTAGTGTTGCTGAATAAGTACTGGTCAAAACAAAGCTTTTTTCTGCTTATGCTTTCAGAAAATTGTGTATTATGTCACCAAAATAACAAAGTCCCTGACAGTTCTAAATATTTGATTGCTGTTTCAATTATTTCTGCTTCCATATGTTCAACTTCCACTTTTTTAAAATTAGTGTCTGGTAACCTGAGCTGCTCTGTTTTTTTATTAGGGCTCTCTGCTTTCTGTGTGTATATGGAGGTAGGTTGCTAGTAAGCTTATAGAGGGTTTTTTCTCTGCTTTCTTTGCAAGCATTTCTTTCCTCATGACTCTTAATTGCTTGTTTAATGGTCTTTGCAATTACCTATGTTTGAAAAGTCTTATTTTGTCCTCTGAATGTAGTTTGCAGGTCACTTCATTCTCCAAGTTTTCTAAACTGCGTTTAAAAATGAGTTGGTTTATAGTTTGTGAATTGTCAGTCTTATGGGCAAGTGTGGTGCACCACATAGGGAGATAAGAGGGCTCAGATTACTGTTTTGTTGCTGACCAGAACAAGGTGGAATATAAGGTCGGTGGAATAGAAGTAAATTGTGTTTTGCAGGTTGCCTCCCAACCCTGTATGTAAGCTGGCAGAACTAGGTTGGAGAGGAAGGCGGGGGGAGGAAAGCAGTTTCATACCTACGTGATCCCTCTACATATCCGTGGGAAGAGTCAAGAGCTCTGACTGAATTCTTTCCTGGGCTTTAATGCTGAATGGAGCATAACTACACTGCTGCTTTACTTTTGGTCTTGGGCAGTGGTAGAAGTCATAATTTTAAGAAGCTGAAAAAAGATCTGGGTTTTCATGGACTTTTTTGAGGATATTGTAATACAATGCAGATTTTGCATCTGCTGATTTGAATTCTGCCGATAACTTTTTCTTGCCTTTTTATAAGTTCTCGGATTGCCTTTTGATAATTAGACTGTTGCCTTAAATACGAGCACTCTTTAAAGTGTAAATTTTTACAGCCTAATCTATGACCTGAATACATCCCTGCTATAACTGCTAAAGTAGTGGTATTGCAGTGTCATAGGTCTGCCGTATGGAATAAATAGCAGTTTTAAAAGTGAACTCTATCTAAACGTTTAATTACAACTAGTGTAATCCAAGGAGAGTATCTTGTGGAGAATTATGTTATTTAAGAGCAGTCCACTTTGGTATTGATGTAATGACAAGTTTTATGTCTGTATATATAAAAAACTCCAAAAATTCAAACTTGGAGGGAAATATTAACATAAGCATGGGGACTTTTTTGTGTAGTGTTTAAAAGCATTTTCTAGCAGATTTATTTACTGTTTTAATTTAAAGACTTGTAGTATATGTACTGCTAAGAGAGCCATTTGTTCTCTTAAAAGTTAGATGATTTTGATTCTTTGGGGTATGTTTGTACAGATACAATTGGCAGACTAATACTTACCAAAACAGAATTAAAATGTAAATGAGTATGGGGTTCTGATACTTTTGGGAATGGAGAAATAATTGCTCTGGGGACTGAAAGCTTAAATTTTCCCAAGAGAAATATGTTAAGCTTTGGAAAGAGAAAAGAAAATCCTCATAGTCTTCTTATTTGAAGTGAGCAACATTGTTTCCTTCTCCAGAGATATGCAGTCGTATTATGTTTTTGTGAGCTCGTGGATGACAAAAATGGAATCTATCTTGTCGAAGGAGCAACGCATGGATAAGTTTGCAGAAGATCTTTCTAACCGCTGCAATGTCTTCATCCAGGTATGCAGTCTTTTAATGTGGTGATACAGCAAATGATGCAGCAAACTGATGTTTCGGTGCAAGTTGTTGTAAAATAGCACACCAATGGTCACAGGACTTCTGTGATTTCTTTTTACATTCCATGTGGGAATTCTAAAACTTTAAATGCCCATTAGATAATCCTTTAAGTAAATTTGTAGAAAGTGTTTCCATAAGGTGTGTGGGAAAGCAAATCTGACTAAATATTCAGTGGCTAAAATTTTGAATTTTTCTCTTGACTTAAGACATCAGGAAAGCTTCATTTCCCCTGTAGTAAAAGGTTTTGGGGTTGTTTTTTTCCTTTTGAGTCAGTCATAAGTTGGACTAAACCAGTGTCTAACTTAGTTTTATTTAGCACAGTACGTACTTCCAGTAAAGGTTTTGTGTTGTTTCATTGTGCTTTGCCTAGTGATGGTACTTTGCAAGAACCTTGCTACGCTCCAAGGCAGCTGGTTTTCTTTTGGCCTATAACAGCATGTAGTCTTAATGTAAGATGTATCTTATTTCTTAGTTTATTTTTTTTGCTAGTTTTGTTATGTATCTATCTGTCTGACAGAAGTCTGATGAGAATAGGTGTGTCATAGAAGCATGATCCTGAATCTTCCATATTTAAAGACATACATGTAATGGGATCTGTGTGGTTTTAACATTTGAATTATTTGCAGTGCTCTAAGTAAATTTTGCTCTGTAACAAATTGAGTTTCCTGGACCTCCTGCTGTCTTTTCCTAGTCTTTTTTTTATTGTGACTACTTTTCCTTTCAATAAGCTGAATAGCATTTTTGTCATGCTGTATGTAATCAACATTGTATTTAAAAACTTAGCATACATTGATTTAAAAATGATTGGGTTTTTTTATTGTGGGATGGGCAGTTCTATTTAGGCAATGTAGAACTCTGTAAATACTGTCAGTGTGTTTATTCCATGGCACCTGAAAGTTTCAGTTTGTGATAGCCTGTTTTTTTGGGGGGATGAGTGTTGTTTGGGTTGATTTACAATAGGTCTGAAACTAGTAGATCTTTGAGGTTGTGCAATTAATTAATTCACTAGCCTATATTTAACTTGAATGGCTTTAGAAGAGATTAATGATCAGGTGATCCAATGACCTCTAGGCAATTTCATGTCTGCCTAATAAAAAGGTTTCATTCAGCTTTGGGACCTCAAGCTTGCTTATGAAAGCAAGTAGGTTGGTAGGTTCTCTGGTGTGAAGAGGCAAAGGTTAGTTCAGTAATGTATGAAAAAAAACCCAGAGAGCACTTATTTGATACATTGTGAAAAACATTTTTATTCCCTTTACTCATTTTATTTTTAGGGTTTTCTTTACGCATACAGTCTTAGCACCATCATTAAAACTACAATGAATCTCTACATGTCGATGCAAAAACCTATGACCAAAACCTCAGTGAAGGCTCTGTGCAGACTTGTAGAACTTCTGAAGGTAGGTCACTGGATAAAAACTGTTTTCACGTAAGCCTTTACAGAGACCATTGATCAAACATCATATATTAACACCACCCCACACACCCCCAAAAAAGAGCCCTCCACTGCCCAAAACAACACAGCTGAGCTGGGGACAGGTTTTTGCGTGGCTTCTTGCTCAAGACTCCATTTCTTTTTTAGAGAACAGGAGATTTGGGAGGCTAGAACTGATTTATTTAACTTCTAACCACCTTCCTTAGTTGGTATCACAGAATGATTGAGGCTGGAAGGGACCTCCAGAGGTCATCTGGTTCAGCCTACCCCTGCTCAAGCATGGTCACCTCGAGCTGGTCGCCCAGGACCCTGTCCAGGTGACCTTTGAATATCTCCAAGGATGGAAAGTCCACAGCTTCCCTGGGCAATCGGACTTTGGCAGTGCCTAGTCCCCTAATTTATCTGTGGCCCTTGGTTGGACTCTCTCCACTATGTCCATGTCTCTCTTGTGCTGGGGAGCCCAGAACTGGGCGCAGCACTCTGGTATGGCCTTAGCAGTGCTGGGCAGAGGGCAGGGTCACCTCCCTCAACCTGCCGGCAGCACTTTGTCTGAGGCAGCTCAGGATACTGACAGCCCTCTTTGCTGCACGGGCACACTGCTGGGGCACGTTCAGCTTGGTGCCCACCAGGACCCCTGGGTCTTTTTCCACCATGCTGCTTTCCAGCTGGGCGGCTCCCAGTATATGCATATTGGTGTGGGGGTTGTTCCTCCCTGAGGGCAAGACTTTGCACTTTTGGTACTTTTTTCAAGAGGAAAATACTCTGTTTTGAGAGAACTTCAGAAAGCAATATTGATCTGAGCTGGATGATTTAAAAAAACAACTCCCGAAGTCCAACAAAACTGACATCATGGTCTTAACGTTTTTATGCTCCCAAATGATTAGATTTTCTTGGTTTCTAAGGGTTACACTACAAAGTGGAAAAGGACGGTATTTGCAGCGTAGATGAATCCACCAGCATAAAGCAAAATTCTAAAGGCAACAGTGGTGGTAACTGCATGAACTCTTGTGTTTTGGCACTGACTTTAGGCAATAGAACACATGTTTTACCGAAGAAGTGTGGTTGTGGCAGATTCTGTGACACACATTGCTCAGCATCTGCAGTATCAGGCTCTTCACTCTATTTCTGTAGCCAAGGTATGTAATCCAAGTTCTAATAATTAATCTTCCTAATCTTGTTTAAACAAAATCTTCATTTTAAATTAAAGTATTCTTACTTTTGCAAAATCTGTAGTGGTGGTGCATCATAATCGATGTAGAAGCTTTCTAGTAGGTCAGAGTATTGCCCTAGAAACTGTACAGTGTAGATGGCTATTTATTTTTGACCAAAAATGGGTTCCCTCTTCCTCTAAAGTACTGCATCTCTTGTCATGTTCCTCTTGTGTTCTTGTTAGTTTTTATTTCTAGTGATTTTCACAAACTGACCTTTTATTGCCTTTTTTCTGATGCACATTCTTAAATCAATCAGTTTTAAGTCTAAGCAAACAGGCTGTTATTTGTTTAAATCTCATCTGCTTCACAAAGTAGCACTGGTTGATATGTGATGGCTTGTGCGGGCATGGATTCACTACTTCTGTGGAGTAGAACGGATTCTGATGGTGGGGCACTGTAATATCTAAATACTATCTCTTTCTATAAACAAGATCCGGTTACTACACATTTTGCTTCTCAAGTATGGAATTTATAAATTCAGGGCAAATGGAGAAATGAGATTTTAGTGTACCTGTTCTGATGGATTAGTGATGGTTTTACTCTTCCATCACATTCAGTAGCAGAATTACAAAGGAGGAATGCTATTGGTATTAGTGCAGCTATTACATTTTCCTTGGGCGTGGGGTTTTTTTTGACCACGCTCATGTAAACAGATTACAACTTTAACAGTAGCCTTTTGCATTTTGGAAATTTGTTTTGGTATGTTTGAAATTTGGCTGTAATCTCAATTCACGTATCTGGCATCACCATGTTTTCTAGCATAAGGAAAAAAGCAAATCTGTACTTCTGAAAAGCTGATGGAGATATACATCTCTCTTGATGTCAGAGTAGCGTGAAGCGAAGTTCCAAGCATCAATGCTACTAAGAAATATTGTGTGTCTTCAGAGAAACAGTTGACATATATTCAGATAACTTTCATAACCTTTTGAAATGATAGCTGTAATGGCGTTACAGATTATTCCTAAATGCATAGAACTATGCTGAGACTTGTATATTGAGTGGACATCGGAGAGAACACATCTGCAAACACTTCTTGATGTTTTGATTATTTCTCAGAAAAGAAGTAAGAGGCAAAGGCTGGTAAACAGCAGAGTTCACCAGTACTAATCTTTTATTTTATCTGCTCCACTTAGTTTCTAAGTAGTGTAAGGCCTAAGGCCTGACACGGCTTTAGCATGTAAGGTTAGGAGCTTCATGCTGAACACACTTTCTTAGAATTGGAAGAGATTTTCTTTGTTATGTGTACCTTAGATCTAAGACTGGCACGCAGTCACTTGCAGCTTGCGCAGTATTTGTGTATTGTGTGGCCTGACCCGAGTTCATGTTGAGCTGCAGATCTTCCAAGAGCATATACAGGGAGTACTGCTGAGTTGACAGAACATAATTTGTTTGCAGAAATAGTACATTTAAGACAAATCCATAAGCTTTGGAAAGAAGAGGTAAGCTGTTGCTCTTGGGCATCGGTAACTTTTCTCTAAATTTCGGTGTCTTTCTGTCATCAAGAAAAGAGTCATTTCTGATAAAAAGTACAGTGAGCAACGCCTGGATGTCCTCTCTGCTTTGGTGCTGGCTGAGAACACCCTCCATGGACCGAGTACAAAACAGAGGCGACTAATTGTTTCTCTTGCACTAAGCGTGGGGACACAGATGGTAGGTGCCACGATTATTCCAGACTTTCACTTGTTTGGTGCTGTGTCTTATAAAGAAATATAATTTTTTTTTTTCTTCATTTGCACAGAAAACTTTTAAAGATGAAGAACTCATTCCCCTTCAGTTAGTATTGAAAAAACTAGACTTGATCAGTGAACTTACAGAGCGGTAAGCAGTGGCATGTAATATATGAAAGGTGGTGTAGTGTCACTGGGGGGGCTGGATCTTCACTGTGTGAATTGCAGAATCTGGCAGCTGCGTGCTGGTGGTGATTTTTGTGTGTATTTTAGACCAGGGATGGACAGAAAGAATTCCTTCCTCTTAACACAACCCCAAAAGTCATGAGTTGGTATCAGTCTGTTTGGGACATCAGACCGTTAGCTCACATGTGACACCGTGTTTTACTGCTGCTGTAGTTTCTGTGGCCACTGAAGTTACAGTTGGCCATCTGAAAGCCAGAGGAATATCTGGGTTCCATGCATACTTTATGGAGAGAGACAAACACCTTCAGTTTATGACTCATGGGATAAATTCCTGGGACAAGTGTTGTATGCAGGTTGTATCAGGAGAGGCCTGTTTCTCTTTTTTGAATTAAAGGAGGAATTGGGAATGTATGCCAGACCTCTAGGCTACTAATTGCATGCAACAAGAAAATTGTGATTTAGGATTTTGCTGTATTGTAAGCTTTAGTTGTTTCAGAGACTGAGCAAACCTCTTTTCTAAAGCAGGTACCTTTTATTTCTAAATAGCTTAGTGGAAAACAGAAAATGAAAGTTCTTTAGTGAAGAACTTTCTTTTGAAGGACAATGCATCTGGAACCATGTAAAATTTAAGCTTGAAAAGCAGTTGTCTTTTAGTTTAAACACACTAAAATAAATATCATTGTGGTAGAAGAATGGCTTCTTCCAATTAAGTGTCTAATAAGTAATTTTGTATTCTAGAGTTCGAGCACAATGTGACTGTTGTTTCTTATACTGGCACCGAGCAGTCTTTCCAATCTATTTAGATGATGTGTATGAAAATGCAGTTGATTCTGCTAGACTGCATGTAAGTAGTAATGTTACTAACTTAGTTTAACAAAACCACTCAGTGGGAGGGATTTGGAGGAGGAGAGAATAAAGCTTAGGCTGAAACTCGTAAGGAAAAAGCTCAAAAAAACCCCAACTAAAAGCCAGACAGGAGTTACTGAGACAGAAATCTCTTCTCAATCTGGAGATTAGAAAAAGCAGTCTTTGTTCTAAATCTAATTAAAGTGTATCTGTTAGGCTGTTCTAAAACTCTCAGGTTGCTGTTGTTAACCCTAGGTCTCTGTGTGTTTGTCTCTTAGTTCTTCATTCATTCTAATTTGAAATTAACACCTTTGCTAGACTTGAACATTACAAGTCTTTGTTCCACATTGTGGTTATGTATTTCTAAAGCACATATCACTGTGCTCGGTGATGCTGTGTGGGATAGTTGTCCTGGAGCTTTTTCTACTCCCCCATATCCTCTCCTCTCCTTTTTGAAGTAACAAGTATTTGCTGCAGAAGCAAATCACACTTCAGCATGCTAATCATGATAAAAATCAATCATCTGTTCCAGTATTGTGCATGCCATGGTCAGTCACCACACTGAAATGATTATAGTGCTAACAATTTCATATAAAATAGCTAATAATTATGACCCTTCAGTAAACGGATGAGTAGCACCTGAATATTAAGATGAACATGTTAAGGACAGGAAACTTCAGTAGGGTTTATGAAGTCTATTTTTAATAAAAGTTGTAAGACTAGTGATTTTGATTAGTTTGTTAGGTGTGAACACTAGCTATTTGAGATGTTGTTGACATCTCCGTCAGTCTGCTGGTTGAGCATTATGTTTTGGTTTTTTTTTCAGTATATGTTTAGTGCACTACGGGACTGTGTACCTGCTATGATGCATGCAAGACACTTGGAATCTTACGAGGTGCTTCTGGAATGCTATGACAAAGAAATCATGGAAGTACTCAATGAGGTAATGTGTTGTGAATGGAAATTAAAGGCAGCGCTATGCTTGGAGTATCTTATGGGCTGGCATCTATTGTACCAAACCTGATATGGTCGATAAAAATAGCATAGAAACCCTTGAGCTTGGCATGAAGTATTTTAATAAATAAGAAAGTGTTCACTAGTCATTTTGGTTATTTAAGACCTGTTGTTAATGGTATCTGTGGTGACTGGGTACATGAAAATACTGCACTCCGGATTACATGAGTTGGCAAAACCTCAGTTACAGATTTGGCTCGTTACTCCTCAGTTACAGAGGAGTGCTTTCTGTCAGACTAGCTTCTGCTTGTATGAATGCCTAAAACATACTAAGAACAGCAGTGCTTACGGGTAGCCTTTCAAAGCAAAGGCTCTGTAGATGCAGGTGGCCTCTTCTGTAATGCTAGGTAATAATTCACTGAGGACGTTTGACAGAGGGAAAATGTGAAATCAGGTTTCCCAGGTCCTGGGTTTTAACCTTTGAACCGCTATCTGAAC